CAAGACTATGAAGATATTTTTGAACTACTTCACAAGGCAATTCTCATTGAGCAACAGCAGAAAAGAAAGACTACTCCTAGAGGAACTTATGGCAACAACTTCAAGACGCCTAATGACAAGACTTTTGTCAAACCAAAGGAAGAAACAAAAACTTATCAAAAGGATGACAAAGGCAAAGCACCGGCTGTTAGGTCCAGAGATCTCAAGTGCTTCAAGTGTCATGGTATTGGACATTACGCTAATGAATGCACAAACAAGAAGGTAATGATACTCTTGGAAAGCGGTGAGATGGTGTCAGAAGAAGAGAAAGCCGAGAATTCATAAGAAGATGGTCTTGACTACCCAGTCCGTGGAGAGTTATTTGTTACAAGAAGGTCCTTGAAGGTCCAAACCAAACCAGAAGAGCATGACCAAAGAGAAAATCTCTTCCACATTCGCTGTATCGTCTATGATAAGGTGTGTATTTTAATCATAGATGGTGGGAGCTGCACCAATGTGGCTAGTAAAGCTCTTGTAGAGAAGCTTGGGGTAAAGACTGGAAAGCATCCAAAACCATATCTCTTGCAATGGTTGAATGAAGATGGGGAGCTTAAGATTACTGAACAAGCATGGTCCCTATTTCTGTAGGAGAGTACCAAGATGAGATAGAGTGTGATGTCCTTCCCATGGATTCAAATCATATCTTACTGGGTAGACCGTGGCAATATGACAAGAAGGCTATCCATGATGGCTTTACTAACCGTCATTCCTTTACCCACAGAGACAAGAAGATCATCCTTGCGCCACTATCACCACAAGAGGTCCACCATGATCAGGTCCAACTCAAGCTAAGAAATAAAGAATCAAAAGACAAGTCCAAGGCGTCTAATGGTAAGGATCCTAAAGGAAATTTACTTCTAGCCAAGGCAGACGATATAAGGAAAGCAGCACAATTGGAACAATCTATGCTTCTTTTTGTTTTCAAAGGTGCACTAATGTTTACTTCTAACATTGAATCGGAGATTCCGAGTGTATTTGAGTTTATCTTGCAGGATTATGGTGACGTCTTTCCTAATGAAAGCTCTGCAGGCTTACCTCCTCTCTGTGAAAATGAGCACCCATAGACTTGGTACCAGGCGCTTCTCTTCTCAACCGGCCATCTTACAGAACTAACCCTGAAGAGACCAAGGAACTTCAAAGGCAAGTTGATGAGTTGATGGAAAAAGGACACATCAGAGAGAGCATGAGTCCATGTGCAATGCCTGCGCTTTTGGTACCCAAGAAAGATGGGAGCTGGCGCATGTGTGTGGATTGCAGAGCCATCAAAAATATCACTGTAAAGTATAGACATCCTACCCCTAGACTTGATGATATGTTAGATGAGTTACATGGCTCTTGTGTGTTCTCCAAAATTGATTTAAAAAGTTGTTATCATCAGATTAGGATGAAAGAGGGAGATGAATGGAAAACTACTTTTAAAACTAAACATGGTTTGTATGGGTGGCTTGTTATGCCATTTGGACTTACTAATGCACCTTGTACATTCATGAGGTTGATGAACCACGTTCTAAGAGCATTCATAGGTCATTTTGTTGTAGTTTACTTTGATGATATCCTAGTTTACAGCAAAAACCTCATTGAGCATGTTGAACATCTAAAGGCTGTTTTGGAAGTGCTTAGAAAGGAAACCTTGTTTTCTAATTTTAAGAAATGTACCATTGGAATGGATCATCTTGTGTTTCTAGGCTTTGTTGTTACAGCTCATGGAATCAAAGTAGACGAAGACAAGGTGAGAGCCATAAGAGAATGGCCACATCCTACAAGCATGAGTGAAGTGAGAAGCTTTCATGGCCTAGCTGGGTTTATAGGCGATTTGTAAAAGATTTTAGCACCATCGCTGCTCCTCTTACCAAAGTGATCAAGAAAAATGTAGGTTTCCAGTGGGGAAAAGAACAAGAGGAGGCATTACCTGATTTTTCTAAAACATTTGAGATTGAATGCGATGTCTCTGGTGTGGGTATTGGAGCTTTGCTGATGCAGGAGAAAAAACCCATTGCTTTCTTTAGTGAAAAACTTGGAGGAGCCATGCTAAACTATCCCACTTATGATAATGAACTCTATGCACTGATCAGGGCTCTAGAAACTTGGCAACACTACCTTTGGCCAAATGAATTTGTGATCCACACTGATCATGAATCACTCAAGAATTTGAAGGGGCAGCACAAGCTCAATAAGAGACACGCCAGATGGATAGAATTTCTTGAAACTTTTCCTTATGTGATTCACTACAAGCAAGGTAAAGAATATATTGTTGTTGATGCTTTGTCTAGAAGGTACACTTTACTCTCATCTATGGAAACAAAGCTTTTAGGATTCGAACAAATTAAGTCATATTTTGCTGAGGATCTTGATTTTAGAGATATCTTCAAAGACTATGAAAGGCATGCTAGTGGAGATTATTATCAGTCTGAAGGGTTGCTATTCTTTAAAAACCGATTGTGCCTTCCTAATTGTTCTTTGAGAGAAATGTATGTCAGGGAACTCATAGAGGAGGACTTATGGGCCATTTCGGAGTTGCAAAAACTTACAGAATTTTGAAAGAACATTTTTACTGGCCGAGCATGAAGAATGAAGTAGAGAAGATCTGCAAAAGATGTGTTGTTTGTGTCCAAGCCAAAGCCAAGGCACGACCCCAAGGTTTGTACACTCCTCTTCCTAATCCTATTGCACCATGGATTGATTGATTTATGGATTTTGTAACTTGGCTTGCCTAGGATTAGAAAGTGAAAAGATTCAATTTTTGTTGTGGTAGATAGGTTCTCAAAAATGGCTCAATTTATACTCGGTCACTAAATTGATAATGCTGTGATTGTTGCTGACTTGTTCTTTAGAGAAGTGGTACACTTGCATGAGATACCTAGAACTATTGTGTCTGATAGAGATTCTAAGTTCCTAAGCCATTTTTGGAGGACTTTGTGGTCTAAACTAAGAACTAAGTTCATGTTCTCTACTACTTGTCATCCTCAAACTGACGGACAAACTGATGTAGTAAATAGGTCTTTATCCACTCTCTTGCGTACTGTTATTAAAAGAATCTTAAGTCTTGGGAAGATTGTTTACCATATGTTAAGTTTGCATACAATCATTCTGTTCATAGAGCTACTAAGTTTTCTCCTTTTCAGATTGTGTATGGTTTTAATCCTTTGAATCCCTTGGATCTCTTGCCTTTGCCTCTTAGTGAACAAGCTAACCTTGATGGCATTTCCAAGGTCGAGTATGTTGTTACCATGTATGAACAAGTTAAGAAAAACATAGAAGAGAGGACTAAGGAATATGAGAAGCATGTGTGAGCTTGTGTTGGAACCAGGAGATCTAGTGTGAGTGCACTTGAGAAAAGAAAGATTTCCGGCTTAAAGGAAGTCCAAGCTCATGCCTATGACAGATGGACCAATCTGAGTTCTCAAAAGGATCAATAACAATGCATACCATATTGATCTCCAAGATAAGTACACTGTAAGCTCTACTTTCAATGTTGTAGATGGTTCGGATTTGAGGACAAATCCTTTCAAAGAAGGAGGGCATGATGCAACCGGGCTCGAACCAGCTACTGGATTGGAACATGATGAGCTGGACCAGCTAAGTGATACGGATGAAGAACTGGAGGAGCTGATCACTGATGGCAAGTTGGACCAAAACCTTGATGGATCAAGATCTCCTCTTTCAGCCCAATCCCATGATCCATTCTGCTTCTCTAAGGGCCCAATCACTCGATCACAAACCAAAAGAATAGAGAAAGCAATAACCGGATTGGTTTACTTTAAACCAGATCCGATTTTGATTAAGGAACAAGACCAAAGTCAAGCCAAGCTATTCAACTACTCAGTCTTTGGTCTTACCTAGCTTTACTCTATCTTTTTCATAAAACAAAAGTCCTAAGTCGATTGTTTAGTTCCCAATAAGCCTCTTGGCATGTCTACTTGTTACTCCTTCTCGTTTTCTAATAAGATCATTCACTCTTTTTATCAAACAATCTCTAAAACTCGTGAACCCTTTGTTCTTCATTGAACATCAAGTGCCTTAAAGTCAAATCCTTTGCATATTGCCTAGTGATCACGTTTGAACGGTGACCTGCTCGATCATAGACTCAACGAACAAGTGATTGATCTCTTCATCGATCTCTCACTGAAGCTATCATCCCCATCGCAACCTTCTTCCACATTCCATCATCCATCGTGTGTTCTAAGCAAGAAATCCCATCATTCCATCAAATCCATCAGAAGAAACAAACTGATTCTCCAGCAAGGAGTTCACTAGGAATACAACTTGTCCGAAGAACCTATGGGCCCAGCAAATGTACTGCAAACAACTGGATTATTGGAACTATTCGTTTCACGGTTGTTGTGATCTCCAATATGCTAATACAATCACAAGTCTCAGCTTTTTATTTGTTTCCTTGTTGCGTGTCTAGTTACAATGGCTATTATGAGTCTGTAATTTTTTAGTCCCAAATAATTTATGAATGAGAATTTTAATTTCTATGAAAGGCGACTGATCATCGTTGCAAATGAACAACATTTTAATCATATATTGTTGCGATTAGTAAGCAAAAATGGTGTAAAGCGATTACATAATATAAAGTTCAATGGGCTTTCCAGGAAGTCTAATGAGATTTCTAGGAAACCCAATTATAAATTGTTAACCCAAAATTATCCGGTATAACGGGATTGGTAAATGGCTCAGAGTTATGAGTTCTGTCACCTGGGTTCAAAATTCAACCACTAAAGAATTTGAATGCGGACCTTTAGCGTCCGAGACCAAAGATCGTTCACAGTGAACCACATGATGACGTCCTAGCACTGTTCTTTTTCTCTTCGATTTCTAATCTTGACCACTTCAGTAGGGGTAGGACACTACTAAAAAAATTACCCAGTAATGTGGTCACGGCCGGTTTATTTTTATCTGAATTGCTCTATCGTCTTTCTAAAATTATCAGTTAGACCAGATTTGGATATCGTCGGGAAATGGCGTACTCAATTACTACTAGTAGTAACGCTTTCCGGTGTTACTCGGAAACGCTGCGTTTTGCTTCCCGACAACATCATTGCGGCCGCGTAAACCCTAACCCTTCCTCTCTCCTTTCCTTTAATTCCTCCCCCTTTCTCGCTCAGGTAACCGCTCTATATAAACCTCACTTCTCGATTAAAGCCTTTTCGATACTTATTTCGAATTCTACAGACTTTGGGTGCTTCTCTTTTGTCTGTTTCCCGGCGGAATATTCCAGTTAGAGCTAAAATGGCGGCGTCGGAAGGCTCGATTAACGGAAGCAATAGGATGCTGGTAAATTTGATTTCTGAATTAACCGGAACTGAATAAAAGATGAAATTGATTTTTTTTTTTTTAATTTCAGGTGTTCGTGCCACCACATCCTTTGATCAAACACTGGATCTCTGTCCTGAGAAACGACCAAACTCCTTGTCCTATTTTCAGTGAGTAGATAAGGTTTTGATTTCAGTGTTTTTTTGTTGTGTTAGAAACTTAGAATTGACACGTGAAACGTATCATGGAAATCTGATAACAAGTAGAGTTATTTTAACATGTTCTGAGCCTTGTACGAGTTTAAAGTCTTTTAATCATTTTTAAAAAAAAAAATCAGCTAAATTGCGTTTGAAAAAGAAGATTTTCATTTTTGATACAATAATGTCTTGTGTGGTTTTGTGTAATTTCTATTATCTTTAGGGAATGCAATAGCTGAACTAGGGAGACTGTTGATGTATGAAGCCTCTCGAGAGTGGCTGGTATGTAAAACGTTTCACAACTCTTCTTTTATTGTTTATGATCTTCCCTCCGTGTGGGTTTGCTTATATGTTTCTTGATTTTTCCACTATGTGATTATAATTAAAGCCAACTGTTGTTGGAGAAATCATGTCTCCGATGGGTGCTGCTTCTGTTGAATTCATTGATCCTAGAGAGCCTATAGCGGTTTGTGTCTATCCCCTGAACCCCCTTTTTCTATAATTTCTTCTCTATTCAAAAAGTTTAAGACATTTCGTGTTCTTGGTTTTTGTCTCTGGGTAGGTTGTTCCGATTTTAAGAGCTGGTCTTGCTCTTGCGGAACACGCATCCACAGTTTTGCCTGCAAATAAAATATATCATTTAGGTAAGTATTTTTACTATATTATCTCGTGCCTGAGGATAGGATTGTTATATATATATATATCCATAGCTTCTTATGTCTCTGTGTGTTTATCCTTTTTCATCAGGAATAAGTCGGGACGAGAAAACGCTCTTGCCTTCGGTGTATCTTAACAAGTAAGAACTTCTCCACATTATTATGTCGTCAGTACTGAATCGTGTATGATGACAGCTTTTTGTTACATGTTCTTCAGGTTGCCAGATGAATTTCCCAAGAATTCCAGAGTATTTTTGGTGGACCCAATGCTTGCTACAGGTAAGTAACTCTTGTCATTTTGGCCCACCACCATAGTAGAACAAATGAAGTTAGTGTTTTTTGATGTGTCTCAAATGTAAGCGATACAAAGGAGTGTGAACGCATGACAGGGTGAATGTTTACATTACTAGAAGCGTAGCTTTAGTAGTAACACGTGGTTTCTCTACTGCTTCAAAACATGGGTTTGTTTTGTATTTTAGGGGGTACGATAATTGCAGCGATGGGTCTGTTGAAGGAACGTGGTTTGTCTGTTCAGCAAATCAAAGTGGTAAGCATGTTTATAGGGAGCAGCTGTTTTCTAAAAGGTTAGCTACATGACAATATCCCTTAAATGTGTTTGCTTTACTTGGTATCTCTCTGATTACAGATTTGTGCGGTTGCTGCACCTCCTGCACTATCAAAGCTTAATGAGAAGTACCCCGGGTATCAATACCGAACGATTTACTCTTTAACCTTGTTTGTCATTTGGCGAGATTACTAAACTGTTTGCAACATTTCAGGCTTCATGTGTATGCTGGAATCATCGATCCTGAAGTCAATGAGAAGGGGTACGTCGTCATCCCAACTTTTATTGCACATTACTATGAATAGTTCGAGTTTGCGTTGCTGGATTCTTGATTTCTCGAAGAGAACTAGCAAATAATATGGAACTAACAATGTCGGTAATACGTTTATTATGGATTAGGTTCATAATCCCTGGGCTTGGAGACGCTGGAGACCGCAGTTTTGGGACATGAAAACAAGCTTGAATTTTTTGGTTAACGTTTTGATGAAGTGATTCTTGTGAGTTCTTTAAATTTTACAGGCAAGTCATTAAATGGATGTATTTCAGGTTTGCCTAGTACTCTAGTTGTTTGTGATAAGTAACACATGGAAAATATGAGTTCCTCATCATTGAGAGACAAGGGAAAAAACTTGTAAACACCAATTTTGCTTCGTCGAGATTTGTATGTGTTTCATAGTCATTTGTCACCTGAACAACGTTGTTAACAAACCTCTTTTTTTGTCAATATTGTGCGTGAAAATCTGAAATATTCGTCCATGTGAATCAAACATTTAGTTTATAATCTTATAACCGCGATGGAGCTGCTTGTTTCTTTCTGTTATATGTCCCAAGTTTTTATATGTTCCAAGTTTCTGTAACAAATGAACTCAAACTAATGAGTTAGTTGGATGGTAATTTTCTTTAGTTGGATGGTAATTTGCTATATAAACCCTTTCTTGCAGCTCAGTTTGGTTTTAATGCGACCAGTAGCTTTTCTGGTTTGTTCGATTTAATTCGGTTTATTCGTAAACCTAAATTAATTTTGTATTCAGTTCGGTTAAACCAGTATCACTTTTGTCTTGGTTAGAGCATCTCCAAAAAGAATCTCTATTTTAAAGTTCGCAAAATCTTATATTTAAAGTTTAAACTAGGTGTTTTGTCCGTATGTGTGAGCGTAATAATTTTATGAATATTTTAAAGTAAATATATTATATATTAAAACTAAATTAAAATAAATTAATATTTATACATTCACAAGTTTTATTGTAACATTAATACTTTTTATCACGTAATGAAAACTTAAAAACTCTAATGCTTTTGAAATATGAGATATTTGCTAAAAACCAACCTAAAAAGTTAAGTCAAACCCAAAAGTGTACCCTATATTTTGTCAAATACAAAATCAACCTAAAGGGGTGTTAAAAGTATTATTTAATCCTTATGAACAAACAAAAACCAGAAAAGTATTTTACACTTATGTCCTTTGTAAGTCTACACGTAATAGAAATAAGTGTACGTAAATGTAGACCTTATAAGAAGTCGACGATGTAGACTTATTCTGTAATCTACATCGCAATTTGATCTAATAATTTAATTTTAAAAATATTTATAATTAGTTTTTTGTGAAATTTTTAATTAATCATCAATATAAGTGTTAATATGAAGTAAATAAATTAAATTGTTTTATAAATGGGTAATTTAAAAGAATATATATTGATTTATTAACTATGTGTTAGGCAATGTTTATGGTTTAGGAACAAAATGTTCTAACATGTTATATCTTTTAATGATAGATTTTCTTAGGGTTAGATTTTAGATTTGATTTTTTTTTTTTTTATTCTCTCAAAACAGCATATTAATGTTTAGTAGTTTATATTATGTACTAGTAGTTTGTCCGCGATTCGCGCGGATTGTTGCTTTGATTATTATGCTATTGTTGTGTTTTTTGGCATACTAATATGAGAAATGTGTTATTTTTGGAGTTTGTGGCGTTTTGGTTATGGCTGTTGTTTGATGCGGCAAGGGGCGTGATATGGGGGTCGTATATTTCTTGGATATAGCCTATGAATTCCATTGGCATGCGATGAATTGAAGCTTTGATCTTTGCAGACCAAAGCAGAAGTTTATATTCAGTGAAAGAAATTGAACCATTGTTTTTTTTTTTCAGTCGTTGAGTCTTTGGAGTGCTGGCAGTTGGAGAGCTCCACTCGTGCTCAGTGGAATTGAAAATGACAAAAGCTAACGTAAGAACATGTAGAGTGTGTGCTTAAATTAAGAAGGAAATTAGGGGCGTCCAGAAAATAGCATGAGTTGGGCAACCTCTGCGATGGGAATATTGGTCAGCTTCAGTTTCCCAAAAACAAAAATGGACAACGAAAATATTTTGATTGAGCATGTTGAAAACTAACAAAAAGTTGAGCCAAATAGTTTGAAGATGACACTTTGTGTGCACATTCTTCGGTCGTTATTATCTCAGAGGAGATAACCATTTAGTATGTATCAAAAAGAAGCTA